GCTTACATTTCATCGTTGCCTAGAATCTAGAAAGTCCAAGGTGACGAAAAGTGGTCGGCCATCGAGTAAGGCCACGAGAAACAGGCTATTCGTCCGCGAAAAACATCAAACAAATCCGAAAACGATTTATTTGTCAAATAATAAACACGTGCGTGCCGTGCACGAAAGTGTCCCATTAAATGCAAGCGCTGGGAGAGCTGCGGAACGAGCTAATTAGAAATGCGTTGCGTAAAAGCCGCGAACTTCAGGCGAAACGGATCATCGAGCGGCGCACAGCCCGTTATGTAAGGGGCCTCGGTCGGATCTGCAATGCAAACGCACGCATAATCGTTTGAGTTTAATTGCAGGAAAACAGAAGAAACGGAACGGGAGTGAGCGGTCGTAATCCTGCGATCGCTGAGTCACAGTTCGGTAGCCGTTGGACGATTTAAATGTATGAATGCAACAATGTTCGCCAAGAAAAGTTTCGAGTTTTCCCAGCGTTCCATTTGCCATTGGAATCGAAAGGAAACCGAACGCACGGAATTAACGGCGAACGGAAAAACTCACGGCGCGTCGCAAGGAAAATAGTGGACCGCTGCTAGACAACAATAACGACGCGCTCTTCGAGAATCCACGGAAAGATGCAGGAAAAAGAGAAAGAGAAGGGAACGTTGATTACGGTGGCACGAAATAGAAGCTCGCAATAGTACGCCAAGGTTAACTGGGTTCTCGGCACAAGCCAATTTGACGCATACCGAATTTTAATATACATTATTCGGTAAGCGTGGATGTTGATTGATCAAATTACATGAGTATTATCGCAGTTGTGTATTTTCAAATAATCTAATTCAAATCTAGCCAAAGAACAGCGCATACAATATCGAGGCTAGCGAGTTTAAGTAGTAACAGTCAATTGTAGCCAGACATTGACTAATAGTTACTAAATCGATCGAACTAAAACTCAATGATCTCTAAATGAAACGATTTATGATCAAATTCTACTTTGTTCTCAACAAACTCAGTTATTCCCTACCGAAGAATACCAAGCGAACACCTAAATTCCAATTTATCTCGAATAGAATCATCTCTCCTAAGATTGGCTTTAAAAATAATTTTCAAATTTCCAAAGTAGGACGACGCGGTGGAGGGAAGTGACACGGGAGCATCTGCGTTGTCACGCCTGGTTACTAACGGTCCGAAGGATTAAGGTCCGACGTCGAGCGTCGGGTCGTGCTCCTTAGGATTCGACGTCGCGGCCCATTCGATATTCTCGGCGGAGATGCAGCGGCCGACGCAATTTCCGGATAAATTGAAAATTTGTGCCGTCGCGATCCCCCGGGGGATATTCCGTGGAAAAAGGACGAGCGCAGATTCGACCCGGAAGCGGTTTTCCGCGGGCAACTCGTTAAAGAACGCCGCCGGAAACGGATACGGTCCTTTGCCATCACGAGACGACCACTTAAACTTCTAGACAAGCGGTGTCTTTAAGTCGTTCTGTCGGTCGCCGGTTTTCTTGCGACGACGGGAGTCGCCGGAAGGAATTGTCGGGAAAGAACGCGGGACAAACGAACGCTGGATGAAGGGGGAATGCAAATAAGCCGCGACACAATTCAAGATTCATAACTTTATCGAGTACAGTTTTTCCGTCCTCCTCTACTTCGCGATTAGGTCAACCGTGAACGCAGCTGCGACTCGCTTCCTCACAGTCTAATTTACTTTTATCTGCCGCGTCTCTCTGTTCACGTGTTTGTTTTACTCCGAGCTGTGGTAAAGATGTTTTACTGTTGGTATTATCTTGATCAACCGGTCGCCGGGGGCCTTCAAGGTATCGAATCGATCACATTGTTGCAATTGCGATAATTTGTGGGGTATGTACTGTTCATTATTGGTGTCATGGAACTTTTTATCGGTGGAGTGTGGATCTTTATGTACATTGGAAGTTTTAAAAGTAGAATTAGAGGAATAGATTTAATACTAAGTTAATTAGTAATTTGTCAGTTCTGTTAATAGTAACAGAAATGTATTGATATTCTGAATATCCTAAATTTTATAAAATATTCTAAAAAGCGCTACACTTTTGATAGTTTATATGTTTCTTTTATATTATTATACGTTTCGTCCTACTTATCAGCAAATTGAGAATTTCTGTTTGATCCTCGTTAGTGTGTTATACGGTTCGAAGTAGATTTGATTTTACTTATTTTTAAAATGAATCTATTGTTTTATTGCTGCGATTGTATCAATTATTTCAGAAATAGCTAGTTGGAACAGAGCAGCCGACAACAGAAGTTCCAATTTCCTTCCGCCTCTAGTTTAAACCAAAACAGACATTCGATAACGCCAGTTCCCACGGAAACTTTTTCCCGAACCTCTCAATTTCCGCCGCGATTTCTTCTGTCGAACACAATCAGCCGCGATACACGCCGTAAGGAGACCGACGTTCGTTATTTATCGTTCGCTTTCTCCCAAAGGGAGAACGAACAATGCGCTTAATCGGAGGAGAACGTTTCCCGGGGCGCGGCATTGCGCCGCAAATTAAGAAAACGAAATAAAGTCGGGGTATTATTGTTTCGGGCTACGGAAAGCTTCCGGCAATGGATTCAACGCCATCGTGCCGTGAGAATGTTCGTCGCGGCTCGAAATCGGTTCCCGATGAGCTCACCCGTTCGAATGTTTCCGATTCGTTGGAAAACCGTGGTCTCATCGTCGTCGAGCCGACACGACGCGGCTCTTTAATTTCAAGAGGCTCGTTCTACGGAATAATTACAAGCGCCGATTCCGATGATCGACGATCGGCATTCCGGTATTAGCTTTTCCCTGGAATCTTCCGATCGTTGCTCCAACGAATGAATATTTTCCAATTTGTATCTGTTTTTCCAGGATGAAGGTAACTCGCGTAGCTACACGTGAAAAATAAACATTGGTGTGGAACCAGAGGCGAACGGCGATGATAAAAATAACACGTGTAATACGCACGTAAATATGGAAAATGGAAATTTATTTGAAAGGAGAAACAGAATAATGATCACAATGAAAACAATTTGCGTACGGTAACGTGTAAAAATTGGAAATTGATTCGAAGAGAGAAATGAATGAGAATAATGCGTGCATGTAATTATGTATTTAAATATAGAAAAACAGCAGCTGATTCGAGACGAATGCACAATGATTCTGAGGCAATTGAAAAATCCGTCTGTATCGGGATACAAGTTAAACGGTAAATAGATTTATTGGCACAATGATTAATAGGCCCGCGAATGACCGGTTTACCATTAACCGACGATTAATCAAATTGACAGACGAGCTATGAATAAATTTTAATTTTTTTCCAATGAACGTGGAAACAGATCAGGATTACAGGACGGCCGGATCCGGTCGAAGCAGAATTACGTAAACACTAATGAAATACCATTAAAGGTGGCTTTACGATCCGTGATTACGTTCGCACGCACAGTTATCAATTCTCTCGCGCGCTAATTTGACGCGCAGGTGTCCGGTCACATGGCCGGAATCGTTCTCCCAATTTTTTTCACCACGCACGATAGCGGACGCGTGAAAAACGCGATGATCTCGTTGGTGGATTTTTATTTTGTTATATTCAGGCGTGAATATTTCGCAGTTTGATGTCCCGGTGATTCTAGAATAATGAATGCGTGAAAGTGGGTATGTATTAGGACGATTTGAAAATTTGGTGGATTAGTTAATGCAAAGGAATACTTGAAATATTATTCACATCGTATATTGTATCTATAATATAGTGATCCGTGAAATATTACTGATTTATTATATTATATTTTTAATATAGTGATTCTTGAAATATTATTGACTTGTTATATAGTATCTATAATATAGCGATACTTGAAATATTATTGACTTGTTATATAGTATCTATAACATAGTGGTACCGGAAATATTATTAATTTTTCATATAATATCTATAATGTAGTGATACCCGAAATATTAATGACATTATATTATCTAACGTAACAAAATAATATTTGGAATGTTATTGGCTAACGTCAAAAAACCGAATTGTCGCAATTTCAAGCTAAAAGTCATACCTTTATAATTAGTTCGCGAACTTTTCAAACTACCGCAATCACGCGATGGAAGATATTAATATAATAACGACACTACCGCGAATATCCACGTGTTCTAGCTATAACAACGAAACAAATCGAGCGCGCATGTCACGATGATATAAATGGGTTATCCTTTACCCATTATCCGGCGCGCACAGATGAGCAATTAATCGGTATTCGAGAAGAATTCTCAAAGCGTTAGAGTATCGAATAAAAAGGAAACAAAACGAGCGAGTGTGTCGACGCAGCCCGCAGAAAACAGGAATGGATAACTCGATAACGTTATTTCTGCCGACGGCGGATCCGATTAATCGCGACGGAATAATATTTGTCCGTTAAATCGTATTTCCGAGAGAGCGGTGCAAAAAGCAATGATGATTTAGAGACAAAAAACGTCCAATCCTGAAAAAGAAGCGTATTATTGCGATTCTAATGGTAGCTGCACGATTATCGTTGTTAATTTCGCTTTTGATTGCGGGCGGTTTAATCTTTAGCCTTTAATAGTTATTTCAGCGTCTTATAATACTGTACAAGACTCATAGCAAAGATTTCGAACAATATTTGACAAATATAGATATCACCTGCAGATATCTTTCGAATTAAGTATTACTATTCTACCATCGATTATTATGATTTGATATAAACGTCGACGTGGAATAAGCCTGAAAATCTTCTCCTCCTGCAGTTTCTAGAATGATTCTGCAAATTATTGGTGACAAATTGCACCAGTTGTAGTTAGAGAAATTCTAGTGCAACGAGTCGAGACAGATGCAAATTCGTCGCGTAGAAGTGTCTCCGGTAAAAAAACGCTTTAGACGCTCTGGAAAAAAGAAATCGTTCTGTCTGAACTCATTTGTTCCCGTCTAGTAACTTATTTCCAGCCTCGTTAACTCTCTCAGCCGCCGCGAACAAGATCTTCGCGTTTTTTTCTTTTAGAGGAGTCGGAGGAGCGATAGGATTGCTGATGCTGTTCGCCACGATCTACGAGTACAGGACACTGTCGATCTTGAACGACGTCGAATCCTCGAGCGTGTCGAACAATAACGAGAGGCTCAGCAATTTCTCCAACAAGAACCTGAATCAGGATCACGTCACCTCGATGGGCCAGGACAACGGAGAAGAGCTGATCGAGAAGGGGAAGGATCTACAGAAGGATCTGGCTGATCATGTGAAAGACGACCACAGGAAAGGTGAACTTTATCGATTGTCAGGTGTCTTGGATATTTCTGCTGCCACTGACATCTGAGGTCTAAATATTTTTGCGATTGTAATAACTACCTATGAAATTTGAAGTTTAAAGTTTGATGTTTGAAGTTTGATGTTTGAAGTTTGAAGTTTAAAGTTTGAGGTTTGAAATTTGAAATTCCAAGTTTAAGCTTATGCACTCAAAGTACCCTCACAGACACTGCTAAAGTTTGGCATTGCGATCGAAGTGTGCCTTTCAGGCACACCAACAATATACTGCACTGAAGTCGAACTGTTTGAATTTACAGTTCAACTTTAGTTGCATGTGATTTCATGTTTCATTCGTTTCAGCATTTAGGCGTTGATTTGACTAATAAAATAAGAAAATTTATTATTCGCCACGGCGAGGAAGTCCGAGTATAAAAGCTTCAGATCGAAAGTTCGAAGTTTGAAATTAAAAATTTGAAGTTTAAAGTTTGAAATTTCAAACGCAATTCCATACTTCTATTTTTAAACCTATCTGAGAAGACGATTATACCAAATCTAACTCCCATAATTTCTCACCTTCATCTCGTCAAGCATGTCGGACCCATCTTACCAATAGCAATACCGCTTTCTTTTATTTCACTCCGACATTCTATTTATACCAGAAATTAAATCTCGCCCATTAAAAGTCGAGTATTTCGAGCTGCAACTCGATAAGACCAACAAGAAAAAAGAAAAGCGGTGACAGTCATATCGGAACGGTCATCGAAACAATTGGAACGCGACGTTGACGTCAATAGCAGTAGAAGTGCCGGATCCTTTGGCGGAACGATCACGAGTCGCCTTTCTGTTTCTGTACAGGTGTCTGGATCAAGTGTTTGACCGCCTTTAATCCCATCACGAACGGCAGCAAGATCATTAGCACAGAGCCTGCGGCCAGAGACAGTCTGACTTGCTTGCACGGACTGCGTGTGCTCTCGTTGGGATGGGTCGTCATGGTGCACACTTATTTGCAAGTTTACGCTATAGCCGGTAAAGTTTGTTCTCCGTTTCCGCGAGCAATTTTGCAATAATGAAGGGAATCGGTGTTGTCGAGCTAGCATCGCGATTAATCTGACAGAACACAACGCATCCCCTCGACCTTCGCTCGAGACACGTAATTTGCATAGATAATTAACGGCATAAGGAACGGTAATGGCTGGGACCAACAGAATTTCGAGTTAGTTATACTGTAGAACAGACTGTTTGCTAATTAACACTCGACAATTTTTCACTAGGAACATTCAATATTTTCTAATCAGATGTAGACTACACCAACTTAACCAGTACAGTAAAGAACAATGCTGTTTCATTTCAATACTTTACATATTAATTCATTGAGAAGCATAATGCTAAATATCAAAGTTCACGGTTTTGTGCCTTTCGTATTTCAATTTTCCTCGGATTGTAATTGAATATTTCAAAATGACCAATTGTTTTACTAGATAGCAATCGAGAATGTTATAAAACATCTATGATAAGTATTTAATGTTTCTGTCTTTAGTTGCGAAAGAGGTTACCCAATAGCACTGCTGCGCGCTCAAATATTAACAGAAAAGAAATTCTGTCTGAATTCCAAATTGTGTCGCTTTAAATATAGAAATTTACCGTGTCAGGACTCGCGATTAAAGGTAATTGGACCTCGATTCGGGAAACACGAGCGACAAGTCCGTTCAATAATCAGCGACAAACGAGAAGAATAATGCTGGGTAATGAAGCCGGTAATAAGCGAAACAGAGACGACAGAGGTCCGAATTGATACAGTGTCAGAATCCAATTAAAGCGTTCCACTTTCTATGGGGTTTAATGTATTGTGATGTAACGCGCGGCGTACCGGTTTTTCCTGATCCACTGTAATCGACCGATCACGCCGAATCGAGAGGAACTTTCACTGATAATCGCAGGACGATCACTTTCCCTGTTTCACGATTTTGCAGAAAACAAGTCGCTGCGCACGGTCACCGAACGAAATTTCATGTTCCAAACGATCAGCAATGCCACCTTCTCCGTGGACACGTTCTTTTTTATCAGGTAACTAAACCGAATTTAAAAGATAATTGTCCCGATATTATCACGTAACGTATATTTCTGCAACGTTCTTGTGCACCTTGTTATTAGTGGAAACGCACCGTGCTCAACGCAACGTCTGTCATTAGTATTTTTTCTCGGTTCCTGTTACACGCAGAAAACATGTAGAATCGTTGCTTTCCACGCATACATTGATACTCGTTGTCCAGCAGGGTCTGCGTAAAGCAAAATTGAAATGTTCAAATTTCCTGTACTTCTGGTGCTTACACAGGTCGTATTTACATTTAATATCACCCCGCGATGAGTTTCTCTCAATTATCGCGTGAAACTCGAGATTTACACGTTATACGGTCAAACAAATATGGCTACCGTCAGCAAACAAGTTTGCGGGTCACTGTAATTTTCGTTATTAGACTGTGGATTTCAATACAGATGCTCTTAAATACACTCGCAGAAATTAGAACTTGAAGAAATTTCCTTTACTTCTACGTCAGTTCATATTCCAACACAAAAAATTCATCGGACATTTTCATATACTCTCCTACACCATATTTAACACTAAAACTACCGAGCAGTCAAATAGACTTTCCGAAATTGTCCATAGAAACTGCAAGAGTACGTCTATTGAGATTTCTATTAAATTACAATTATGTTTTCGTATTGCTAAGTCAATGTCTGCAGTGATTTCTCCGAGAATCATCTATCTTTTCAATAATCGCAAAAAAAGAACAGGATCATTTCGACCTATATGGTAGGTCTAGTATTAAAGAACCAAAAACGCGACAAATAAAATCTGCACCCCACTCAAGCCAAAAGTCAAGTTCAAAAGAATGAAACAGTCGTCTAGAATCACAGGGAATTAACTGGCAGGATGTTTCAGCGGCTTGCTGGTCACGATTCTCTTCTACCGTTCATCCGGGAGCTTGAGAAACGACAAGGAGAGCTTCACGAGGACGTGCTCCACTAAATTCGTCATCATGATCCTCTACAGATTTATCAGGTGAGTAGCAACCGTGCTAAGTTACTTTCCCGCGATAACCTGAATCGCGAGCGAATCCGTGAAAGCATCAGGAAGAGTGTCGGCTCTGCGCACGTTGATCCGCGGCGCAACGGATTTCGATGAAGCGGAGGCAGATCGATCAAAGTCCCGCGCGATACGTCGGATGAATGGGGTTGAATCTCGAACGAGTCTCGTCCCAATCCCGCTCGCTGGCCGAGCTATCGATACCGACTGACCCGATCCGTCGATTTTCTACTTTCGTCCAGATTGACGCCGGCCTACCTCTTTGTCCTGGGGATAAACGAGATCGCTATAAAACAGGCACACGCGAGGACGGTCTTCACGCCGAAGATGATTGACCACTTGACCTGCGAGAAGTTCTGGTGGAGGAACGCGCTCTACCTCAACTCGTTGTACACTAAGAAGGAAATGGTAAGGGGACGAACTCTAATCCTAGAGATACCGTTTCTGGATACTCTTCACGGTAACAAGGATGTTCATCATGAAAATCGATGTTTTCTTGAACTTGTATTTTAACCCATTTGCATCTCCGCTGTAAATGTGAAGCTTAAATCAGAGATGCTCAACTAAAAGTCTTCTAAGCTTTTCATTGAAATGTACTCCGACTGACATAGCCTAGTAATACAGACGACTAAAAGTAACTGTGCGGATTAGTTCGCTTAATGATGCGAATGGGTTAACTAAATGGGGATTACTGTAGAACAGGGGAAATTTCGTGAGTCCTTAGGAAGGTGGTCGAGGATAGTTCTATGTAACGGTATGTTTGGCTCGGTGATACGTGGAGTTGGTGAACTTGCGTTAATAAAGAGGATACTGGTGATTGTAGCGGTTGTAAATGTAATAGAACTTATTCTTTCTGTTCTTAATCTATCAGGTGGATCAAATTGTTTCATATATCTTTTACAATTTCTTAAGAGACCAGGGATGTTCCTCTGAGAAATTATGAAATTAACTCTGGTATACTTAAAGTAGAATACGGGTTAATTGAAACCTCGGTAATATCCAATTATACTTGTCGAATGTACCTGAAGCATGTTTCGAGAGATTTTCAAGAGATGTTCGAGAGATTCATCAACGTGCACATATAATGGGGAAAATAATTGGCTCGGAATAGCCGACGGATTAACGATCGTATATCCACGATCAGGAAGCAGAGATGATTAAACGGAAAGAGTAGGATGCCGGTGCAGCAGCGAAATTTCAGACAGGAAGCACGGCCTTCGGATGGAAGACGGCAGACGAGGAAGGTGTCCTGGGTCTCGATCGTTTTCCGATAATTAATTCCATCGCTCGGAGAAAGTTCCGAAGCGGCTCGCGACAACGCGGGCCGTCTAGCCATCCTAAAATCAATTTCATCGATGTTCAGAGGGAAAGAGTCGGTTAATTACCGGTTTCACCGGTGTTCACCACGCGGACGTTCAATGGAAGCACCTGCTTGCAGTTCATTCGTAAATCGATTTAAAATCCATGCATCGATGCTTCGTATAATTCATCGGAAGAAATTGGCGAGGAAAAGATAAGAGAACAAGAAGAAAAGAAAAGAAGATAATCTAGAATATTGGGTATGAAAAATTCATCCCAATTTAAAAAGAAGGGTGCAACTATTGCATTAACACTGAAACTACCAAGTCAAATTGACTTCTTCCAATTTTTCTATAAGAAATCTAAGAGTGCATTGATATTTCGATCGACTTATAGTTTGATATTCCTACTGGCAAATCAATGTCTTCAGTACCTTCTTGGACAAGCTTCTATTATCTTAATTCATAATTACAATGGAAGAATTGAGAAATGGGTCGATTTGACCTATTTAGTAGCTCTATTATTAATAAGATAATGCAAAAGTAATTTGCCTATAAAGCACACACTCCCTCCTCATAATCAAAGGCTTGCTTCAAGAGACCCAATGATCTTTCCCTTAAAAACGAACTTTCGTAGGTACCCAACATTTCAAACAGCTCGACTCTGAATCGATAAACTTTCGATTCATGAAGTTCTCCAGCTGTGTTGGCGTGTAGAACCGCGCACGTACGCCGAGCCAAGTATTTTCCGACACTTTCGCAATCCCGACCTAGTCTAAGCCCGTTGAACCCCGCGATTATCCAATGAATGCTCGATCAACAACTTTCCAGTGTATGCTGTGGAGCTGGTACATGGCGAACGACACGCAATTCTACGTTCTTGGGATACTCTTGTTACTGCTGTCCGTTAAGTACTTAAAGGTCGCCGCGAGCCTGGTGCTCCTGCTGCTGGCCTCGTCGTGGTTCACCACTTTCGTCGTCGCTTACACGAACGACTATGTGGCGAGGTAATTAAATGTTCATCAGCCGCTAATGCATCGCGTGCGAACGCGATGTTCCAGTTTTTTTTTTCGATCGTTAGCGCTAGATCTATCGGATAGGTAAAAGTAACCCACTTTGGGGCCCTTCTTTTAGAATCATTGAATACGTGCAAATGACCTCTCAACAAATTATCAGGCGAGTTGATTTAGTAACGTGTAAACTGAAATATGAATTAATTGAGATTGTAATAAATGCATTTTTGTAGTTCTCGTAAGAGAATTAGGAAGAGTTAGTTGGACTGCTAAGTAATTCTGCCACCGAAATGCCCTGTAGCTCCATTTTTCACCCACGAAACGCATCGTGCCATTTAACCCTCAGGCCGACCTGACCCGAAAACGTTTCGTTTTCATTACGGTATCCGGTGTGAGAGCATGATTAATCGGGCACCATCCAGTTAATCGAAATCCAATGTATCGATTTTGCCCGTACGAATAATTGATCAGACGGATAGAAATAAATTCAGTAACGCCAGTTTATAAATACCGCGATCGAGTTACAAATACGGTTTCTGCCTTAATTAGAGCTAAACTCGATGCGATTTTACACGGAAAATATTCGTGAATCGAACTTAATTAGTTTGGATTGACCTGAGCGAGCAACGCGCGAAATTGGAATAGTAGAAATTAATTCGATGGCAACGGTTAATGAATATTATAACCCTGACGATGATACGATTTCTTTCTCAGCTTATTAACAGCAAATCTATTAAGCACGAATACCCAAGCGTGTAAAAAGCGAAGTGGATAATAACGAATCGAAACGATTTAGCCTATAACGAATGCAATTACAGTCTCATTTACATGCGAATATTAGAATGTAATTCAGTACAAGAATCTTCAGCTGAATATCTGAGAAAATTACGAATTAACCGATGAATGTAAAGCTGTAAATGACGAGTATGCCGAAGATACTCGGTTAACGGGTTAATTAGATGAAAATTTGATCTCATTTCGTTCGAAATGCTTCGACACAATTACTCCGAGTGTACGGCACAACTTGGATGGGAGAAAAACAGTCGCCGGTACACGTTTCCGCGATATCAGCCGGTTCCAATGGAATTAGAGCTTATTGGAGTAGGTAATGGGACAATTCCGGGTATCTAATATAACCGAGCGGCGACGGGGCTTCTGGGTTTCCTTGCACTTTATGCGGCTGTTATCTCGTAATCGTTCAGACTTAACCGAGTATCGGGTTTTTCATTTTCCAACCGCGGCCAGACCAGTGTTCCCCTTCTATTCTTTTTTCTTTTTGCGCCAGGATCCAAGATCCGTTCGCTCTGTTCGACGAGCTGTACGATAAACCCTGGATGAGGGCCGGACCCTACTTCGTCGGCATTATCACTGGCTACATCCTCTTCAAGACGAATTGCAAATTGAAGCTGCCCTTGGTAAGCGCATTCGATCCATCAAGAAACACTTTGTCTCTTGAATGATAATTCCAGGACTGTCATTAAATTTGTAATGCATCGTTTGATCTTGACGTCGAAGATTAACGATCCTAATGGTCTAAACTGTATTCTTCGATACAATCGTCAATATTTCTAAACGCATCGAGAACTTTTAGCATTTCTACAAAACTTCATTCCTCGAATTTCTTAAGATTTGATCTATTAACTTTTTATATTCGAAACAAACTTATTATTGGATTCGGTGCTACGAAGTAAAAAAAATTCTCCTAGCTATACGAACATTGCGTTAGTAATCAAGATTACTCTTCAATATACTGTTCCGTACACTTCATGTATTCGTTACAATCCCTGTTCACTTAATTAATGAAAATTCTGATTTGCAGCAAACGTTCGCAGACGAATACGGACTTCTCAGTAAACGTGCGCATTAAATTTAGATTCCATTTCCTTTGGAAGAAGGACGGAGAACCAAAGGAATGGAAATAAGACCATCTCGTGAATCGCGAACCGATTCGAGTCCGTGAAATTTCGTTTGCCGCGAGAGTCGGTCAAAGCGTTGACGATTTGTCCGTAGCAGCTAAAGGAGAGTCAAGGTGATCGAGGAATGGTAGAGACCCTAGCAAATTGAACTCGCGCGTGTTCCAGGTGGCGCGGACCATTGGTTGGCTGGTATCGAGCGGCATGATGTTCTCGCTGGTTTACGGCCTCTATCCCGGAAATTTAACCGTGACTGTGAGTTCCGTCTACGCCGCCTTGGGACACACCGCCTGGGCGATGGCCGTGTCCTTCATCGTGATACAATGCTGCACTGGATCCGCCAAAATGATCGACAGCCTGCTGTCGTTGCGCCTGATGTATCCGTTGTCGAGGCTTACTTACTGCGCGTATCTGGTGCACCCTATCATCATGATGATCACCGTCACTCAAATGGACGGTCCGTTGCATCTCCACAACGATATCGTGGTGAGATTATATCTCATTCTTTCAACCCCCTTTCCAACCAATTTTTAACCTCTTCGATGCTGAATATTTGATAGCGTATGACGTACCCTTAACACTAGAACTACCGGATAGGTCGGAATGACTTATTTCTGATTTCCTCTTTTACTTTTGAGATCTCAATAAAAATTTACAATTGAAACCTCAATAAACGCACGCTTATGGTTTTTATAAAGAAATTTGTAAAAGTCAGTTTAAGTGATCGGTAGTTCTAATGTTAATTCAGTTTTATAATTTTGATTGGTACCGCATTGACGAGTAGCAAATTATTCATCAAAAACAGTAGTGATTAGGAAATAAATGCAATAGGAAATTGGATGAGAAAAAATGAAAACTGATCAATTAGCTGAATTCCTCGCCATTGAAAGATCCTCTAATAGTACTTCAGAGTAAGAGGATTTTTAAGAATTAATTTAATACATTTTTCTGGATTTTTAAAGACATTCCATAAATATGATAATGCTCAGACTATAAATAGCAAAACACCAGGAAGACTCTTTCACTAGAGATACTATATAACACCGAAGAGGTTAATGACGTGCCTCCTTGGGACCATAATGTGGTTCCGATCTTGGCACACTTCTGAATTCCCGGCTGAAGTCACGCTAATGGGTTGCCCGCTTATATTCAGCCAAGAAAGTGTCCAAGAGAAAAATTCCTTACCGCAAAAAGAACTTAAATAGCTTCTTCTTTCCTTGAAACCTTGATTTTACGGGAGTCAGTGGCTTCGAGTATTACGACGATGGAATGAAGCTTAAATTTGTCTTTTCTTTTATTACTAGATATCATAACAGATACATAATCACTAAGCAGATTAGCTTATTACAACATATTAACAACATATTACGTGTAGAAGATTTTCCAAGAATTTTCAATTCCTATTCAACATCCGAACAAGCTCTAAAATTTTGGTACACCGATGATCATTAAAGCACATTTAATCAGCTTATCCCACGAGACATACCCACAAAGATTCACAGAATCCTCTGTCTCCTTTCATTTCAATCGCTCTCCCATCGATCCCCGATTAGCTAAAAGGTTCGAAACGGCTTCAATACCAGTCCTCCCGTTAACGACCAAGAATCCTGAACACGCCCCGTCTGTTTGCGTTTCAAGCTGATTCTGTACTTGGGCAATCTCGTCGCCTCGTACTTGTTGTCGTTCTGCGTTTCGATCGCGCTCGAGGCGCCCATAGTCAACCTGCTGAAAATCGCCTTTATCTCGAAGAAGCGGGCTAGGTAGGAGGCAGCGGAAGATCGAGCGCAGCTTATCGTGCGATCGACGGTGAGTAATGGACACCACGATTTCAATGGAAATAGACGTACAGCCGGGAACACCGTTATCGATTCCCCGTGATTTTTACAGGGAATAATCCTGCCTCTCCGATCGACAAGAGAAAAAACGCCACCCATCCAATCGTCCGTCTATCTGTTTAGCGGACGTTTTCAAACGGAAATAAAGCGGGGATCCGATTCCCTCGACGACACTGAACACCCGGTTCGCGGCTCGACGAATTAAGGGATCGGCGCGATTTCGTCAGTGAGGAAGATCTGGTGCCTAGGAGGATCCAGCGAACTCGAGAAGACTCGTACAGTGTCAATATACTTTGTAAATCGTACCCCTCGAGATTTCTAACGGTATTCTCGCGAAGAGGATGACGGAGATGATAGAAACGAGTATGGAAATTTGTATTTATCTTTTTGTACTAGCTAAGATCCTTGTGTAATATATTCGTGAATATAGTGTTTGGACATCAAGTGGAACGACGTGGATGTTACTTTCCTCTTATTGAAAACAGGAGAATAAATATATTTTCTCTTGAGAAAATCAATTCAAATTGTCCTCAATTTAAATAAAAGAACGTAAATAAGAGTTTGGGGGACGAAAACTCTTTGATATACAAAAATACCGAATAGTTGAGCAATAAATATGTTGGGTGACAGTTGTAATTATAATTTTATTAAGAACGAAACACTCGTAGACAAAGTATTCGTTAGCTTGTCGGTACGAGTCTCGTTTTCCGAGAACGTGAATCCGAACTTTGAACCACGAACCTTTGCAAGAGTCATTCCATTCGTCGCGAATAGAATTCGAACGAGAAAGTTTAGAACGAACGCGCGATTCCTTCTCGAAACTTGCGTCCTCCTTCTACGGAACGATTATTCAAAGTGTTCCTTTGTCACCCTTCTTCGCTCTAAAGGGAGGGCCTACTTGGGAATCATCCTCGGAACAATAGACGCGATTCCCTTAAAGCGTATACAAGGTGTACCCGAAATAGTGGCGCAACTCGATCTTATTTGGATTTGATCATGTTCGCGGAACGTTCTGGTCGTAGACTGAAATTGTTTCGTGTGAGACTTCGGTCACGAGAAAATTGAACTCCGACCTTTCGCAATGTGCCTGCTCGTTGCTTAAGGTTTTCACTTTACACTTCAAAGTGCAAAGCATAACATATACTAGAAACATAGTAAATCTCCCATAATTGAGTCGCTCAGAAGTTAATGCGTTTAAGCACATGCCTTGATATTTCCTGATCTTTGAAAATTTTAGTGGAATAAATAATATTTTTCTTAGTTATGAATTCTCTGAATTTTTGTTTTCTAGAGTTAACCGCATTAGCTTCTGAGCAACTCAATTGCTGCATTATTTCGAATATACGAAAACCATTCGCGAACAGAATAAATTTTCCATTTCATTCCAGTTTCGCTTGAGTTTTATCATTCTTGAATGATACGAAATTGTCTTCCCTTATATATACTAATTTCGCTAACTATGCTCAATAATTTTCGATGATGTTCAAGTTTAGTAATTTACAAAGAAAGATATCGAACCAAGCAATTCAAAAAATGATGAAACTATATGTATAAGTAGAGTAAGTCAAGCCTAATGCATTGCAATTTTTTTCGTGCCGAATTTCACTTTGAAGGATCGAAACCACGACATTCTGAAAGGATCAACACGCAGCAGATGACCATCGATTTCTAAATAAATATCTTGTGAACAAAATAATCGAAAAATTACGTGTTATCAGTTGATTTCTTTGCAACTATTCCTTTCTAATCGAACAGCAAACCAATTTTCCGACAAACCAGCACACCGGGTACATTCGCAACTGAACAGAGGCGCGACAGATGTGTAGACAACGGCGGGCAATGAAGAAAGTTCGGTAAATAGCGAATCGAGAGAAAGGGAACGTAGAAGCGGCGCACACCCAACGGTTTCAAAGCAAACGGAAGAAATTGAAAACACGGACAAACCCGAGGTTTGTGTTTTAACAAGTCTTCGTCGGTCCCTAGGAATCGGCACTATCAAATCCGACAAACAATATTATCTAAATCAGATGATATTAAAAAATTTGTTGTAATCAATCTCCCTGAATCTTTTACGTCTGTTGTTTACATATACGCAATTTTTTTTAATGTACATGCCGCCTACGTGGAAACCAAAGTAAAAAGAGCTCCGCGTTTAACACTAACATTACATTGTATACATAGATGTATACTGTGACCAAAAAAATAACTAGTTATAAAATAAAGGTAAACAAGTTTGACGAAAAATTTTTCTTAGTGAAAACAAAAACAAAAGAAAAGTCAAGAATTAAAGAGCTGATTAATCAATGCAAGACTTGATATAACGTTATATGAACGAAAAAAAATGCAGAACATCAAATCAAATATTAACACTAGAACTACCGCATTCGTGAAAATGGCGGCAGTTCGTTTCCTTATTTCGCAATCATTGATGTCTGAAATGCATAAAATATTCCAAATGATTTTAAAAATTAATTTCAATTGAATATTACAATAAACATAAACGACAAAAGTCTATTGCTACAATTTCCACAAACATTACATCTTGATCATATTAATAAACCAACCGAGCAATTAAATTAACTTTTTTGTAACTGATTTATAATTCAGTTCGCATACTGCTCAATCAATGTCTTTAACAATTTCTCAGAGAAAAATTCGTTATCTTTTTAATAATTACAAGACGAAGAAATCAGGAATGAGTCATTTTGACCTGCCTGGTAGTTTTAGTGTTAGTCACTGGGTAATCTACCGTTAAAATCGGTCATTCGACCGGTTCATGGTACGGCTAGCGTCAAAGAGGAACTTCGATCCTGAAATGGAACGACACCGCCGGAACTCGAGGGGAGATATTTATCTGAAGGCCAAGTATCTTTGTCCATCCCGATGTACACCCAATCTCTATAAATTTCGCGTGAACTTGGACCTTGTGCCCCATTATTCGTGGAAAGTGGCGGAACGGTGGCCAAAAATGGCCCCTCTAATTTTTCCGGCGCGATCCCTTGGGGTAGAAAATGGCGGACGGTGATAAAATACTGTAAACGAACGATATTATTTAGCCGCGCGAGGCCACAGTTCGCTCCCTCACGTAATTACACGTTTAGAGAAACTTTTCCTGCCGGCAGGTGCTCTCTTGCCTGTAATTTTTATCAAGCGCGAGCGTCTCTTCGGTGAGGACTTGCTTTTTATGGCCGACACTCGGCGCCGGTCAATGCGTGAAGGCAACGCCTTTTACAAAGCAGGGAACGTGGTCTCTTGTTGCTCGGTGTTGGTGTATCACGCGATTTTCCCTCACGGGAGGAGAATAACGATACTGTTTGACCCTTTGTGGACAGGGGACCTTTTTAATGTTGATGGAACTTCCGTCGTAGAATATTCAATTGGCTACTAACGCGAGGCAAATAAATTTTCAGTGTCTAAGGTCATTCCGAATGAGATGGCTGTGCTGTTGAGGTAGACCAATTTCGTTAAAACTGTCGAATATTTTCAATCTTTCTGAGTGGTATGCTGAATTTCGCACAGAGACCTATTTAACTGTTCGTCTTATGCAGATATATTTTTATAAATATTTTATTGTTCGTTAGGTAGTAATAATATTTATTATATATAAGTTCTTTCGAAATAAGTGAACCACGACTTATATTATACCTGAATATATCGCGGGGCTGTGTTAATCAAATGTGTATGAATACGGGAAATATATGATAAAACTACGTTTTTCAAATTTTGAAATGGCGTTTAACTGAGTGAAACGTTTGTCTGATGAACGTGAAATAGCGTAGGATTAAATCACCGGTTTCGAATGCATTAATTGCTTTATGCGATTACGTGTGCATATAGTTACCAGGAAATTACTGCATGTGCACATAGAATTTGATATGGAATTTTCTTGCTGAAGCGCGGGAACGATGAAAATTTGATTACGAGTTGAGATGACTCTGCGTTCACCGACTGCCTGGATCCTCGTTTCCTAAAAGAAAATGATTTTCTCATTATGCAACAGCGAAACGATAGGTGCTTAAACATAAATAACTCTCCGTTTTTACAATACTTTTGCATGGTTCCTTTTCCAACGAAACTTTTATTCCATCAAATTGACAAGTTAATGTCAGTACACAGGCAGCGATCAGTGAACTTTCACATGTGATTCTCACGCGAACGCACAAGATTATTAATGCGATCGACGTTCTGTCGATTAGACCCGCATAATGTTCCCCGTCTTCGAAACAATCGTGACATCGCTGTCTCGTGCTAGACTAATTCGTCTCTGTGCTCGTGTCAGTGCACCGCGCAATCTCTAGGAAGAAACTTCCTATTATTAATCATATGAAGAAACTTCTAATTGTTCCTAGCTCTGCAATGCTCATCGAAATTCTGTGTTCTGCCTGATTGTTAATTGGAGCAGTAGATGGACAGATCACATCTACTACAGCGCATCCTATTGTATCGTATAGTATATATAGTAGATCATCCTATACAGTGGTAGATAGATCTCTACTGCAACAAGAAAATTCGATTAAAAAATGGGAACATTGACAAACGATCGTTCCATCAAAGGTAAAAGGAAACCAGGCCGCGTCATCCAGCCGATTGAAGTCGGGCGCAAATCGATCGTACTCTGAATCTGTTTTCAAACGAACGAATACGGTTAACCAGCGGTGCAACCATCCTCGACAGGTAATCGGTGAGCTTAATGCTAATACATCTACGAACGTTTCTGCTACATCGGGAATCCTATTTGCCCGCGTCTGTGTGTGGCTCCTAAAGTGCCCCGACTAAATTGAATCCCCGAAATTCGGCCCGCCTTTGCCCGATTTCTCTCCCGAATCTTCGATTGAGCTACATTCTGGCGGAAGACAGCCCCCGACCACAACGCCGCACTATGCAGTGAAGTCTAATTTAACGAAGTGAAACGAGTTGGTGAATATTCTT